TGCACAGTTAAGGAGCTTTGGTTTCCCTTCTCTCATTAGCTGCACTCACAACAGGGCAATATTTGAATTAAATGGACACTTAACTCAGGAGTTAAAGCTTAAAAATACATTCAAGTACCTTAACTAGTAACAAAAACGTATTTTATTTGTATATCACTTGGCTGTAGATCCTCAAATCTGAATTGGTGCTGACACTGTCCTTCCTTCTGGAGGGTGGCTACTTTTGTTCCCCATGGTCCCTGTGTGTTTTGTAAAGTAGTTACCGCTCCAAGCTCACTCCCGTTATGGACTACAATCTCCTTACAAATGAGTAAACTAAACATGAGAATGCAGTCTATCACGGGAGCGAGCTTGGGGTGGTGGCTACTTTACAACACACACAGGGACCATGGGGAACAAAAGTAGCCACCCTCCAGAAGGAAGGACGGTGTCAGCACCAATTCAGAGATGATTTGAGGATCTACAGCCGAGTGATACACAAGATACATTTTTGTTACTAGTTAAGGTACTTGAATGTATTTTTATGGTTTAACTCCTGAGTTTAGTGTCACTTTAAACAAAAAAGGTAAATACATTTATAGTGCATAATATACACCAGCAGAAACATTTTCATCTTCAGAATGTTCGATTTTCTAATGGCTAGTGGGGTTTAATCAATGTCCATTTTCAACCATAGTGATGAGGAAAATTAAAAATGCAGGACGGTAGTTTTTTTTTTTATTCCCAAGTGATTGTTTTTTTATTTTTATTATTTCATATAAAACACATTTATTTATACATAACTTAATAAAAGAGATATAAAAAAAACTTAATTTCACCCCATAAATTATACACATCTCAAATAATAACTGCTCCATTGCTTTCACCTACATTCATGTCCAATATCATTCACTTTTCATTACCATCCTCACGACTTCCGTCACTTTCACCTCTACTTTCTTCTCACATTCAATACCCATGTCCTCATCTGAAGGGGGGGGGGGGGGGGCCTTATCCACATGTATTTTTCACAG